TAGAGTTATATATTTAGATGTAAGAGCTATTTTAAAACAATAGTGGGTGGCCCTTGATGCTTTCCTAGAGGGCCCAGGTTCGGATCCCAGCAACCACACAGTGGCTCACAACCATCTGTAAATCCAGTTCTAGGAGATCCAATGCCCTCCTTTAACTCCTCGGGCACCAAGCACAAATGCAGTACACCAACACACAAACACAACACTCACACACACACACCATAAAATCAAAAGCTTTATCTTCCTCCTCCAAATTGAGTAGTTTACTTTAAATAGACCTCAAATCTTGATTTTGCATTAATGCAAAGGACTCATGTCCTCCTTTTCTGAAAAAAATCTCCAGTATTTTAATAAATCTAACATCAGAGAAAGTACTTTCATTATTGTTTATTGAGAGAGAACTTTATACAATTTGGAATGGGTGCACTTAAATTATGTTACAGATAACTGTAAAAAATGAGATCTGTCAGCAGCATGACTTCAATTTTATATTATTAGTTACTATCTTAAAAAAACGATGTAAACAAAAAATATGGATAAATTAACCCAAAACAAAAGGCGATAAAATCCAGAGAACAAACAACACATGAATTAGCGCATTAGGTATTACAAATAACTAGGAGTGATGGAACAGCTCCAATGCAGAATCCTAACTGATTCTGCATGTCGTGAGCAGAAGGAATGGGAACTGATGTGGATCTGACCCAGGAGCCCAAGAACACGCTGTACAGAGCATTCTACGTCACCGCACTCCTGCTCTTCACCTGCAGCCATGGCGTTCTCCTCCTACCATTCCCTAGAGACAGCGAGTAACTGTTTACAGTAAGAGTCTGACAGGCAACCAAAGGCAGAACACTCGCCCCAGCAGCAAAGCCCGCTTTGGTGGCTCAGTGGACTGCCCAGGCTGAATACAGGGACACCGTCATCAACATGCATCCCAGAGACTTCCCACATGGAACACAGGTGGCAAAAAAAAAGAAAGAAAATCTTTAAAGGGAGGAGGATCTTTGTGTTGGTGTCAGTTTTGAACTTAATAAAGACTAAATTACATATTCAATTCTGGGTAGCTAGTTTCTTCCCTCATTGACCTTGGTGACATGACATTCCCCTGAGATTGGTTAATGAAAGCAAGCAAACAGAGTGACTAAGAAATATAAAATACGGTCAAAACATTATATGATTATGCCTTTTGCATTTCCTGGTAAGAGTGCCAATGGCACTGAAGAAACCGATGTTTCACTCAAATAATGTGTTTGCAATGTGAATCCCTTCACTTGTGAAGTTAAGGCACCAGGTTAGGCAAAGCTGGAAGGTCCGATGTGCATCATGGACTATACAGGCCCCAGACGCACTGTGTGCTGAGAGTAGCCAGCAGGAAGGGATCCGTGGTTAGCTGAAGGGCCCTGTAGGCTTCAAGTGGGTCGGACTACACTAGACTCTAAGGCACTCCTACAGGGAAAAAGACAGTGAGAAGGAAGAGCCGTAGGCCAGGACAGGGCTGGTCTGCAGCTTCCATGGCTAGCTAGAGGGACCCAGCTATGGAAAAGCTGCCAGAGGTGGCTTGTTCATCTGGCCTGGGAAACAACTGGCTTCGCTAAGGGGCTTTCTAGAAAGATGAGCAGTCAGGGTCTCTTCTCTCAGAGAGGGTGGCTGGTGTCCCACCTGCCAGTGCTCCCATCACACCAGAGTCGACTTTATGAAGCCAGTGCTACTCGCTATGGTCACCAGGAACCCATTTTAAGTAAAACCTCTGATGGGTGTGGTCAGGCTGGGAGATATCCCAGCTTTCCCTTTGATTTTTTTTTTTTACTGAGTTTTCCAGTGGAGTTTTTAATCTCAGCCCCGTACCCACTAAAACATACCAGAAGGAAATTCTTGAGCCAGAGAGTTTTGAATCCAAAGAAAGGACAGAACTGTGTACAGAGAGAGACTGCTGGGTCTCAGACTTAACTGTGACAGAGATCAGCGTGGGTTAGGTTAGCTGAGGGGGTTCTTCCCGTAGATCCCAGTAACCTGGGGTCAGGCAGGTGGAAAGGGGAAGAGCAGGGACCAGCCTCCTAACACCGCCACCAACAAGCTGGCACCAAGGAGAGGGTGAGGACAAAGGCAGTGGCTCCAGCCATGCCAAGGAGCAAGGTGCCAGATTCTTTTCCTGTCCTTCAGATTCCTGATTTCTCCACATTATTTCAGAAGAGGAAAAGCAGTATGGAAAATCCCCCAAATAAAGCTGCACACATCTCCATTTACCACGAGAAAAACAATAAAACAAAACAAAATAAAGTCTGTGTTGTAACCAGGCAGTCTTCCAACAAAGGGTCAAAGATTAGTTCTGAATCTAGTCATTTCAGTGAAGCCTGGAAGGTGACGGAGAAGCCTAACCTGCAGGGCAAGAGTGGCAGGGCTGTCCCCTGAACCAGCAGCAGAAGGTGTCTCCTCTTCCTGGGTGGCGGCTGTCTTTGTAGCTGGTGCTGAGTGTGTGTCCCACCACCGTGGTCCTGCTCTGACAGGTAGTTCATGTCTGGTGTTTTTTGGCCCACGGACAGAGAATAAACTCGCAGGGCTGGAAGCCAAGCCTCCTTAAGGAGGTGCAGAAAGAAACCCAGGGGTGCTCACGTTCAGTGTGCTCACATAACAAGCAGAGATTGCACTGCAACTTAGCCACAGTGACAGAGTGACAAGAGACACCTTTGTTTGGAGGCAACTGAGGGGAATTACAACACTGGGCTATCTCATGACTATACCAGAACCTGCAAATCCCAAGACGCTATAGCTGTAGTCTCTGTTTTGGTAGAGACCCATTATAGAAGAATTAAGACGTGGATACCTCTCAGCTCATCAAATGTGAAGCCGCCCAAAAACTGACCCTTATGTGGCACATAAAGTTAAGGGGAAAGCAGAGTTTCTATGATTTTCATAAAACTGCTTTCAACTCTGGGAACAGGCAGCCCTGGAAAGAGGTCGATCCCATCGCTGTGGACTGACTGCCTCTCGAGCACTCTGTGGCCTTCCTGCTGCAGTGCAAACACGGGTCTATTTTAGGAACTGGCTACTTGACGGTGGGGTTGGGTGCCAACACTTCCCCCAGGCTGGATGGTGTCACACATGAGTTTCTGGCATGAGCAGGAGGGAATTCTTGTGCTACACCAGGGAATGGGCTGTTTAGTGAAAAGCAGTTCCCTGGACTGCGCTACCAGCTCCAAGAGATTAATGGGCCGTTTTCCAGTATGCTTTACGTGTATGATATTTACTGAGATGAAAAAAGGAGGTGGAAATCCACAGGCTTGCTTTTGTTTCAGTGGTTTCTAAGCAGTAGAACAATGACCTAAGACTGCACCAAGTCATTTGTTAGACCTGAAAACAGTATGGGCCTTCATGCACTCTGTGGCATTCTGGACTGAGACTAACAATTTTGAATTTTCATGGTAGATGCAACTCCTAAGCTGACTCTACTGTGTCCTATCAGATTTTGGTGTTAGTGGCAGAGATGGTTGTTGTGAGCCCAGGGCTGGCATGGACCAGGCTGTCAGGGATGTACAACAGAGAGAAGATAAGCAGCGTGGACATGACCCCAGGTTTAGATCACTGATGGCAATGCGTTTATCTTTTTCACCTTTAAAAAGGAAGCAAAAAGGAATGCCCAGGGAAAGTTCTTAGGTGCTCCCAAGGTCTGTTCACACACAGCAGGGCTCTCTAAGGGGACAGTAGTGACAACTCAGGTGTCTTGAGCTGGGAGTCAGATTTCATCCTTGACTTTCAGCAGGTCTGACCTTGGGTACCCGTGAGTTGGGGTAGGACAGTCTGTACATTGTGTGTGTGTGTGTGTGTGTGTGTGTGTGTGTGTGTGTGTGTGTGTGTATGGAGGCAGGGCTCTGTTCTTCAGGTCTCCATGTTCAGTATGCTGGGAATAGCCTCCTTGACAGTCCGAATCACAGATACATTAATTACAGCAAAGCCAAAGACTAAGCTGCAGTGACAGGGATTTGGGGGTGGAGAGAGAAGGCACTGTGCCACGGGAGCACATCTGTTTCATAATAAGCAGGTCTATAATTCTCCCTTGAAAGATCGTGTTCTGCTCTCTTCTCCGAGGCTGGAAAATATAAATACTGTATTTCACGAAGGGGAGGAGGAAGGGAGACACTCACATTTGTTTGCCTATTTGCCAAGTGTTGGAGACTTCCCACCCTTGTCTTTTGTGTGCAACATTCTACCACTCCATCTGAGGGGGTGTCAAACTTTTCCAAGAGTTTAAAAAAAGCACCACGAGGTGTCTGGAAATGGGGGACCCTGGCCTTTATTTTTCTTTTACCAAGTTTCATACCTTGGTTGTAGCTTCCAGGTAGCCAGGAAATAGATGCATGTGTAGCGCTGACCTGTGTGGTCAGGGGCAGAAGGAAATGGTGTGGGCGGGGATGTGAAATGCTCACCCCTAGCTGCACACGTCAGCGGATTGTCTCCTAGTGGACAGAGCGTCAAGAGCTGGTGCCTGCAGAGCAGCATGGAGATGAAACAGACAAGCACATTGTGAGTCAGTGTTCCCATCAGATCGAAGAGCAGTGAAAACCAGAAAGGATGAAAGAAAGCATGGACAACATCGGCTCAGTGTGAAAGACAGACAGACAAATTACTTCCTTGTGTTAAGGCAGCAGGAATGCTGGCCATCAGGTTCCTAATGCCATCCTACCAGCCATCTTGGTTACAGTGACAACTACACAGGCTCTTACAAGGGGACTGTAGCGGGAGGACACTACCCTCCAAATAGCAAAGTGATTCATTTCTCTCTCCTACATTATTTACTTTTTGTATTACTGTAAGGTGGCAATAATATATATACATATGTATCTACTTATTCCAATAATATTAAATTCATGAACTCTATGTTTGGTATTTTCTTAATAATTTAGGTTGGTATTTTTCAAAATGTTACTCTTTAATAATTGTATAATTTTTAATTTTAAATAATTTTTTAAATAATTAAAAACAAGTAAAGTCAGGGTAGGTATGGTGGTATATACCTGTAATCCCAGCATTTGGAAGATGAGGCAGCAGGGTCACAAGTTTGAAGCCAGCCAGGGATATATAGCAAGATCCTGTGTTAAAATATGCCCCCATCTTAAACAAACAAAACGCCCAGAGTATAAAGGCAAAAATAGTTACATGGACTGATTAAGGGTCAAAAGTACTGTGAAGGACAATGAGAAATAAAACATTCGAGATGACAGGTGGGCATTGCCTATGGAGGACTCCAGGAAAGGAAACAATGTGTCCCCAAGATGTGTGTGGCATAAGCTACCTAGCAGTCTATGCACTGATATGCTTGAGGACAATCCTGGGACATTTCCTCCTGGCCAGCACTATGAAAAACTAACAAACGTCCTCCGATCCATGATTGGAAATCTGTTCTTAGGACACCCACGTGCACTCTGGCAGGTATCATTTGGCAGCTGCTGGGCTTCGGACCAGCAAACAGATGGATGACATGACTACTGAGATCCTTCTGGATTCACATTCGGTGACTAACTTCAAATCCAGGGTAGCTCTGTTCCTCATGCTTTCTGCTGGGAGGAGGGTCCCGCTGGGCCTCTGCTGCATGGTTCTGCTTCACTCTTCTCATCTCTGCCTGAAAGATCTAGAAGCATTCTTGTGTTTTGGAGATTTCCTTGTGAAGCAAATGACAATGGTCTCTGTCTCAGTTTCCCCAGCAAAAGTTAAAACTCAATAATAACCCAAAGCTTTGCAGTGGGAGATGCTTCCTCTGATGCCTGTGCAGTAGACCGGTCCTTAGAGCCAGTGTGAGTACAGAGGTCTCAACTACAGAGCAAAGTGTGTAAACCGCAGTTGCTGGGAGCAAGCAGCTGAATTTCAGGGCTAAGTGTAACTCAGCTTTCTGGTAGGAGTTCAGCCACAGGATCACTGTGGACCTCTTGGACAATGTGTTATACAAAGCATACGTACAGGACGTATAGGTGTGCATGATATAAATAAATAACTTATATATCTACATCTAGCTGGAGAAGAAACAGCCTCATCTGCATGGGCCCGAGTGGCCCCTCGGGTGGTTGTGAGTGGGTACAGCCTGGCCTGCAGTCAGGTGTTCTGGTAGGACAGCTCAAACATGGTGCACGCCCCCTCTAGGCTTTCGTCCACATTCAGCTGCCGCCAGAAGGATTTCTGCTTCTTCTGCAGCTCCCGGCGGACGCACCGTGGGCAGGGGACGGACTTTTCTTTGCATTCTGAATGAAAGACAGCTCCACAGCTTTCACACCTGCAAGGACCAAGCATGGAGAAGATTAGCAAGACAGCGGAGCCCAAGAGCCTTATGGAGCCTTGGTGAAGCCTGGGACACTGTGTGTTCCTCTGGCCGTCTCTGTCACTGGGAAGAGGCAGAACTGAGAGACACGGGCTGTGTCTGTTTCCAAAGGGCTCAGTGTTAAGTTTCGCTAGTGACACACTTCTGTGATCAGAGCCAACTTCATGAGGTTTGCGTGGAGGCGAGTCAACACTGACCCAGTGACTCTGGTAACAGTGACAATGGGCAGCAGTCGGGGCTCTGTAAGCCAGTTTCCTCTCCACAAAGAAAGACGAGGAGAAATGCTAGGGCGAATGACAGAAAATATGGCCTACTGCCTGGGCAGCAGGAACCCTCAGCAGGCCTGCTCTGTACACCAGGGCACAGCTTTCTACTTTAGCCCTCGTAACTCCCTGCCTCTATGTTTGGGAAGGTAAAACGGCACATTTCCATTCTCGGAATGGTGCCTGGGGCCTACTGCCCTGTGCACTTTTGAAATTAGGAGAAGCCTCCCACGTCTCCAAGCCTACCTGTGTGACCTAAGTGTGAACGAGGAAGAGTGGGGAAGAGTGGGGAAGAGGGCATTCTCACCACCAGGGCAGTCTGGCAGTTTATGGAGAGGAGACATTCCCGGCGGATGACTAGCTGCTTGTCTGGCCTGCTGGAGTCTGCACAGGAGTCTGACTCTGCAGCTTGTTTTCACTGTGGAGTTCTCAGCAATGACTAATGACCTTGGCTGCCCTAGCCAATGACCTGCTCATGTGCACGGAGCTCTATCCTGCCACACATGAGCTCTGAAAGGAGACTCCCTTGCCCTGGGAGCCCAGGGAGTTGCCTACAGGATCTTATCCATCCACGGACCTGTGTCACATGGAGCTGTCCTCAGGGCTCGCGCTGGGGCTGTGTTGGGTATGGGCTGTCTCAGGACACCATTCCCTGATGTGCCAGGGTTCACCTCTAGCACCACCAAGCAGGACTCTGCCCACTGGGCAGCCACACCTTGTGGAAGGGGCAGTGACTTGGAAGTTGTTGGGAAGGGGTCCAGTGAAAAGCTGGCCAACAGAGGCTTCCTGCCCCCAGCAGTACCTGCTCCCAGCTCAGCTCTCCCGTCTGTGGGGACAGTGACTATTAAGATAACAGATAAGGAACTGCAAATTGCTTCTCTATCCCAGAGTTGTGTCCCCCTTGGAGTTCCCATAAAGAAGTTCAAGCCACAAGGTGACTCCTATTGATGACTGTATTTGGGTAGTGTTAGGGAACTAATTAAGGTTAGGGTGTGTCTCTGGTCTAATTTAACACAAGAAGCAGAACTTCTCAATATCTTAGTGTCTCTCTTCCCTGTGCGCTATTTGAAGCCATCAGTGAGCCAGAATGAAAACCATCATCAAAAGCAGCCCTGCTGGCACCCTGCTCTGCATCTTTCAGCTCCCAGAGCTGTGAGCAGCACACCTCTGAGCCACCCAGCCTGTGGTATCTGGCATGCTCTCCGTGCAGACTACACGATGCCCTGGAGCGAGTGACCTCACCTGGTGAGCGTCAGTGTCCTCATTAGTTTAGTGGAGATAACACGAGCAGCCATCACATCAGGATGCTGCAGGCCTTGAATGAGATCATGGGTAAAAGTGTCCAGCAGTTCCTGGTACAGGATAAGCTGTGTCCCTCGGGCATTCTGTGAGGTCTCTCTGCAGCCTGGCTCCTCTGTGTGAATCTGCATCAAGCCCCTCATTCCACAGAGCAGAAAACTAAGCTTCCCAATGGGCTAGTGGTCACCACAGAGATAGAGATGTCAATAGAACCCAGAGTTACTGGCACCAGCCAGTGTTCCCACTGCTGGCCACACTGCTGGCTGTCTGAGCAGGTATGTGCACAACCAGCAGGGGAAGCGGAGCTTTGAGGCCGGATGCTGGTGTCAAGTCACTGATGTCCCTGTAGCTGGGCTCTCCTAGGTGGATTGCTACTCTTTTCTTAAGTCGGTTTCCTCTTTCTGACCATGACTTCTTCCTAATCACTGGGTTGCTGAGAGACAAAATGGGCAAATACAGGCGGAAGGACCCTGCAAACTGAAGTGACACGGCCCCTAACAGGTGACGCTGATGCTCGCCTCCTGGATGCTGGCCATGCTGGACACAGTTGGGTCACCTCTATGCTCTCCCTTTCCCTACCCCTCTGCTTCTGTCAGTCAGGATGAAGGTCAGAGCCAGGTCTCCTAGTGACTCTGTCTGGGCTAGCTATGTCCTAGTGGCAGTGGCTTTGTCCCCACCAGGTCACACCTCTGTAAGTTCCTATCGCTAAATGACACTAATGGCAGCTTTATCAAATGAATTTCCTCCAGAGCTGGTCATGGATTTATACACCTAGGGGCGTGGCCCCAAGGCAGTGACTGATAAGGAGGAAACACCCCACTCAACGCCACTCCCTTATCTCTGCTGATACCAGGCCTGCAGTGAGGGGAGAGATTGAGTCTTATCAGACATCTCTGGTGCAAAAAACACCCACAGAGTGGTGGGGGCCAGTGCACCTGCTTAGCCTAGCCAAAGGTCAATAACTGAAAAAAGTATGAGATAAAGAAATTAATGAGTTCAAAACAGAACCAAGTCTTATTTTCTAACAATTTGTAACCCTGGAGGCATTTTTCAACTGTGGTACGGATACATGGATCAATGACATTCCCAAATTCAGACAATTCCCACCTACCATGCTCCCTGCTTGTTTCACTCTAGAGAATAATGGTAGACCAGGCATGGTGGCACATGCCTTCGATCCCAACACTTGGGAAGCAGAGGCAAGTGGATCTCTGAGTTCGAGGTCAACTTGGTTTATATAGGGAATTCCAGGCCAGCTAGAGTTACACAGTAAGACCCTATCTCAAACAAACAAACAAACAACAACAAAATGGTAGAAAAGAAGAGACAGAGGAACCTGTTCCTGCAATAAGAAGCTGATGTGCAGGGGAAGTGAAGCTCCCACAAGTGTGGCAGACGGCTCTGTTCTCCCGTGGGGACCCACTCTGTTAAAGGGAGGCTGCACTTGGAAAGATGGTTGGCTCCTAGGTGCTAATGCTCCTTGACTGTTTTAAATGTGACCCGGGAGCTGTGAGGATGGCTCACTGGGTAAAGTGTGTGCAGCCCCTCCCTGTGTGCCAAGGACCATAGTTGATTTCTAGTCCCCACATGGCAGCACAAGCCTGTAATCCCTGGGGAGGCAGAGACTCCCTGCAGCTTACAGGCCAGCCAGTCCAGTCCCCTCATTAAGGAACAGCTCTCTGGTTGTCACAGTAAGCTACCAAAAACAAAGTGTCTTACAGAATGCAACTGCAGGCAGAGGTGTTTGCTACTGACCAAAGGCATACGGTGGATTTTTCCATTTCTTTTTCATATGTGCATCCATTACTTCATCAATCCAGGACTCTCAATCTCAGCGCCACTGACATACTGAGTGGGATTTTCTTCAGTGCAAGGGGCTGTCCTGTCATTGTACGATGCTTAGTAGCATCCTGGGTCTCAGAGCATCCTCCCACAACCACTGAGCTGTGGCAATGAGCAATATCTCCAGATGCTCACAAACATCTGTGGGGGTCAAAATAATACCTGTTGAAAACCACTGACCTAATCACCTTGAAACAAAAATCACAGAGGAATGCCCAGTGGGTTAAACAGCATCCCGTCTTCTTTCTTGCTGGCGTACACTCTTGCCAACCAACAAGGTCCAGCTCAGTGCTCTTACCCATGTCATTCACAAAACAATTCATTTCCAACACAGCATGTGATAAACATACCTCAACAAGCAAGTATTAATTGTCCTGTTGCTTCTGAAGTTATTTAAAACTTCATCTATAGGGGTTTGGGTGTAGGTCAATGGTAGACAGCATGATTTTCAGCACTGGGAGAGAGAAAGGTCAAGGACCAGATGTGGTACAACCTCAGGAAGGCTGAGGCAGGAAGGGTGTAAGATTGAGACTCTATTTCCAAAAGTAAAGTCAAGTCAAGCTTAATATCAGCATCCAGAATAGAACACTGGGCATCATTCAGTAACTCAACTTTTCACCATCTCACAGTGGCTTTTCAACTTTAACCCTGGTTGGCTGGCTCTCATTTGCATTTATTAGGTTGTTTTTGGATTAGATTTTCTGAGCAATTTCTCTGTGGCCTTTCTATGCCATCATTCTTTACCCAGACCGTCTGGCAAATCAAAGTTTTTTTTTTCTTTTTTGCATGTACTTTATAAACTAGATTGCTTTTGTGACCTGTGAAGTTGGCTTCTGGCTGCAGAGGTGAGGACGCTAGAGAGTAGGAGGCCTGATTGTTCGCTTCAGCTTGGCGCTCATGTCACAGGACACTGGGCCAGATGCTTTGCCTTTGAGCCTTATTCTCTAGGGAACTTCAGTTAGATGATGTCTAAAGTGTCTTCTACCTGTAGCCTTGGGGGGTGGGTAGCAGAAACTATTCTGGGCACCAGTACTCCCCTCTCCTGTAGACTTGGGGGGGTGGGTAGCAGAAACTATTCTGGGCACCAGTACTCCCCTCTCCCCACACTCTGCTTCAAGGTCTGTGGAGGACAGAGTGCCAATGAGCACTGGCTACTTCCTCTCCAGAAAGTCTCAAACTGAAAAGCCAAATGAGATGGACAGTAAGGGGTGGGTTATATTGTTTTTAGTTTCACTTATTTGTATTAGTTAATCTATAGGATAAGTTGTGTGAGTTAGCATAGCTTCAGAACTGCAACGTGGTGACCTGTGCAGGGCAGGGTGGGCCCAGCTCTGGACACAGCACAGTTGATTGGAGTAGGAAGACACCTGGAGATCTGCTTCTGTGGAAGTTCTAGAGAACATTATCAAGTATCTATGTGCACCCTTCTTTGGGTGAAGGGTAGGGTTGCCCACTATTTGGGGACAATATAAATTATATTTTGCTCCCTAGAAAGTGTTCATTGGAATAAAACTAACCATTTTATGAACAGTTTTGACCTAAAAATTATCT